TGTTCCCAAAGTGCTGTATCAAAGCACATTAATAGAAAGTTGTGCGGAAGAAAAAGGTACACAAGCAGCAGGGATGACCGCAGCCTGGAGAGGATTGTCAGGAAAAGGCCATTCAAAAGTGTTGGGGTCTTTCACAAGGAGTGGACTGAGGCTGGAGTCAGTGCATCAAGAGCCACCACACACAGACGGATCCTGGACATGGGCTTCAAATGTCGTATTCCTCTTGTCAAACCGCTCCTGAACAACAAACAATGTCAGAAGCGTTTTACCTGGGCTAAAGAAAAATAGAACTGGTCTTTTTTTGGTGGTCTGGTCTGGTTGCTCAGTGGTCCAAAGTCCTCTTTTCTGATGCGAGAAACTTTTGCATCTCATTTGGAAACCAAGGACCCAAAGTCTGGAGGAATCGTGAAGAGGCACACGCTGCAAGATGCTTGAAGTCCAGCGTGAAGTTTCCACAATCTGTGTTGATTTGGGGAGCCATGTCATCTGCTGGTGTTGGTCCACTGTGCTTCATGAAGTCCAGGGTCAATGCAGCTGTCTGCCAGGAGATTTTGGAGCACTTCATGCTTCCTTCCGCAGATGAGCTTTGTGGGGATGCTGACTTCATTTTCCAGCAGGACTTGGCACCTGCCCACACTGCCAAAAGCACCAAAACCTGGTTTAGTGTTCGTGGGATTACTGTGCTTGATTGGCCAGCAAACTCACCTGACCTGAACCCCATAGAGAATCTATGGGGCATTGCCAAGAGAAAGATTAGAGACATGAGACTGAGCAATGCAGAAGAGCTGAAAGCTGCTATTGAAGCATCCTGGTCTTCCATAACACCTCAGCAGTGCCACAGGCTAATAGCTTCATGCCACACCGCATTGAGACACTAATTGCTGCAAAAGGGGTCCAAACCAAGTACTGAGTACATATGCATGCTTCTACATTTCAGAGGTCCAATGTTGTTCTATGTACAATCCTTGTTTTATTGATTGCATGTAATATTCTAATTTTCTGAGATTGTGGATTTGAGGTTTTCATAAGCTGTAAACCATAATCATCTCAATTACGACAAATCACGGCTTGAACTATCTTACTTTGCATGTAATGAGTCCATCTCATATATTAGTTTTACTTTTTAAGTTGCGTTACTGAAATAATTGAAGTTTTGCACAATATTCTAATTTTTCGAGTTTCACCTGTATAATACATAATGAAGGCTTTTATTTCTGAAAAAATTCATTATGGACATTTGCCTAAAAACAAAAAAAAAAAAGATAGATATGATGAGTTAGTTACCAGTAGCTGTTATGCAGCCACATTCCATCATTAATGTTGCAAGGGTAATGGAGTAGTTTTCTGGCATTCCACCAGATTCTGGGTGGCATGGAAGTTGCTGCACCAGACATCACGAATGATTTCATTCTCCATCCTGCACAATGACATAATTGGTGGTATGGCACCGAAGTATTTAATCAGAGCTTTAGGAAGGGTGCCAAGAACTGCAGTTACGTAATTATTTCCCATAACTTTTATGAACTTAAGGAGGTACATTATGAAATCCTAGTTGGCATCAAACTATGTATCCTGGTGCCATCTTTGCTTCATGTCTTGTTGGATGATTTCCAAAGAATATTTGTCTAGAACATACAGATTGTGGATTCATGATCCTTGGTTCTAACGTGGAAGGTCCCTTTGAATATGCCAACACCAGTCATCGATGTGACATCTTTATTGTGGACAATTTTTAAAATGTATAGCACCACTTGCAGAAAATTCCTCAAGGGAGATGCTATCCCATAGCCTGATATAGGATAGCATTTTAAACATTTGCACACAAACATTCAACTATTGAAACATACACACCCCCTTTAAAGCTATCTTTAACTAGATAGGATTGAACTACTAACGTGTAAATGTGACAATTTAAACTGATAAAACAATGGTTGTTTGAGAAACTAGTGTTTTCCAATCTCCTGAAATGGCCTCTCAACTTTAGAATTCTCCACATGGCATAGCCATTGCTGAGAATTCTGGGAGATGAAGTCTTCCCACTTGGAAGCTGCCAACTTTACAAACATGGAACAGCCAAACCAACTGTCAATCCCATACACAGTGCTTTGTTTAGCCAGCCTACTGGAATGTCTGGAAAACTGAATGGAATGATGCTTTCCTCCACTGATTGAATTTACAAAAATATGTAACTCTGTCTGTTAATCAACTGCAGGCACTCCAAAAGAGACTGTGAAATCAGAGTTACAAGCAAACCACACAATTGGTTAATCAAGATTCTGCCAGATTGCTTCCAAGATGTCTTAGCTGTTGAGGGTAGTGGGTGGCCCTAGAAATTGGATGGATTTAAAATCCATTTTTTTCCTTTGCTTTCTCACAAATACTTTTTTGTGCACATGATTGGAAATCATGAATAGGAAGAATCTGAGAATTGCGAATAATACAAAGGAATGAAGGTATACAATTCTGCAGGCAAGACAAAGCAATTCCATTAAAAAGCTTGTCTGGAAGCACTTTCATCATGCCCTTTTATAAAGCTCCTCTGCATCAAAATTTCACAGGAAGAAGCTGTTCTAAAAAATAGGTGAGCACCCCTAAATTTTGCAATTTAAAACCAATTGCACTTAAGAACATTGGTATATGAATTACTTCTTTTCCCCATACTTTTGAGGGGAGGTCAGCATTTCTACATCCATTCATACAGTTTCTTTTTTTCAAACAACAAATTACTTTGCACCCACTATCACTTTATTGTAAGTACTAATCTATTTCTGAAAGAATTAGGAAGATTGCTATTTTAATTGCAATGAAATATGGAAATGTGCAAAATCCAGGTTGATTGCTTAGGATGGTAGGAAAGACTTCTGGCAGTTTTCTTTTTTCATAAAAACCAAAGACTTAAACATCATGTAGGAGGAGGCTGCGTTCCACCTGATTGAAATGAATGGGATTTGCAATAGGCAGTGGTGTGAGATTTATATATTCTTTGCTAGAAAATTGTTGCATTGTGATACAATTCTGTTATGCATCCACTCAAGAATAATTCCACTGAATTCAATTAAATTTACCTCAGGATGAAACTGTAGCCACAAGCAATGTTACAAATGAATCTTATGTTTGATTTCTCAGGAAGACTACTGTGTTTCTCATATAATAAGGCCGGGTCTTAGTTTTTTTTGAGCCCCGAAAAAATGGCTAGGCCGTCTTTTGGGGGGTGACTTAATTCCCCCCCTTGCATCTTCGGGCGGGTGGGCAGCGATGGCTTGGATGTTGACCTCAGCGTTGGTGGGGCACTTCATATTGGGGTCAACGCAGGCAGCACCATATCCGGGTGTGCAACAAAAGTACTTCCTAATGGCAAGCCCCCCCCCATTCCCCCCCATTTCGCATGTTTTAATATAGGCCTTAATTTGGGGGGAGGGGTTAATTTCATTTCGTGCCTATAAAACATGCTGGGACTTCCTATTGGGGGAGGCCGTATTGTTGGAGAAACAGGGTAGTAAGGTATTAAATGTTCCTCTTTCTAGTGAATGCAACCTCACTGAAGATTGTAAAATTATTATTCATTTGTTTATATCCCTTTATTATTTTTACAAATAAGGAGGTAAAAATTTCCAAAACACCTTCCTCTTCTTATTTTCCTACAACAACCCTGTGAGATGAGTTGGGCTGAGAGAGAGAGTGACTAGTCCAAGTCATCCAGTTGCCTTTCATGACTAAGTTAGGACTTGAACTCATGTTCTTTTGCTTTCTAGCCTAGTGCCTTTTCACTAGACCAAACTGGCTAAATATATAAAAGATAAAGCTAAAAATAGTTTTTATCTTTAACAGTACTAGTGTGGTGGAATGAAAAATTAATTGTTTTCTCCTTACTCTAAAAATCTAACAAAAAATAAACTATCCTTGTATTTCATGTCAAATTGTTAAAGAATAAAAGTTCTCATTCTTTAAGTCTAAATAATTCCCATTGCTTATTTTTAAGATGAGGAAACAAAATGGATAATTCCCTGTCCCCGCATAGACACAATAGCATTTTTCTGAACACTTGTCATCTCTCTTGTAATTTTTAAATCAGTAGTGAAATAATGATTTTTAGGGGGGAAAAGTTGTCTTCAAGATGAGCTTAGCTTTTGATGTCTTCAAAAACACAGAGTATATCTTCATACTAAATAAGGCACTTGAAATATGTGCATATAAATAACAGTAAAAATATAAAAATAACTGTACTAAAAGTGTTATAATGTGAGAATAAGTGTGAGAATAAGATTTAAAGTTCTGACATATCAAGTCATTATTCTGAAATCACATTTCCTAAGAGGAAAAATCAGCTGAAGTGTTTTTGTTCTCTGTCTATATGCATACATTTAGCTTTAAATAAAAAAGGTTAAATATATGCTATTCAGTTAAAACTGTAAAATTCACCTGAACAGAGTGACATATCCAATAAATTTAAAGTCACTTCATTTTTTAAAAAATATATTTTGAAACTAAAATTTACAGAGCTACAGTCAAATATATTTTGCCATTTTAGAATCATGAATTCAGGATATAGTAAAGGAAAATTAATCTAGCTAGGCATATCTCTCTTTTTAATTATGCTATCTCTTTTTAATGTCTATTAGTTTTGTGTCATGTTACTGCATATATGGTTATAGTTTTTGTACAACACTCAGATAAGAGTTATCAAATAGCTGGATTATTTTCTACATTTACTGTACGGAAGCAGCATAGGAGAAAAAGCTCCTTTCAATCAGTCTTTTTAAAGAAACAACCTACTATAAGCTTTTTACCTTCTACAATCAGCTATACCATCTGCTATACTGCTTTCATTTCCTATCTGCTACTTACCGCAATCTAGGGCACCTAAACTGACCAACACAATTAAGACAAAAATACTCTATAATGTGGGCATTTTTAAAAAAAGGATTCCTTAAATTCTAGTATTAAAGAGGTGCAAATGGTACTAATGAAATGTCTGTAAATAATTTTAAAAGAACGAAATCATTATGTACAAAACAATTTATTTAAAAAATTAAAATAGGTATTCTTATATATTTATATAAACTTCCATTGTTCTATAAATATAAATGATTTTGATATAGTGAACAGAAATAAATGTGTACCAAACTGACACATTTGGGATACGATTAGTCAGAGATTATATTTTTGGCAGGAATGTAAATAAAAAGTTTTAAATGATACATCATTAGAGTAGCAAGTCTGTTGTGTCACAGAAATGATTAAATATGAAAATGAGTTTGCCACTGAAAACTGACACATCTTGTATAAACCTATTACAGAAGTATGAGCTGTAGTAGTTTATAGAGAGTCTATGAACCAATCATAGACAGTTTTTGCAGATTTACATATAAATGACTACACTGAAACATCAGGCTGTTGATTCTTTCAGGTTTCAAACATTTTTGTTCCTCCTGGTAGCATAAATCGTCGTTCTTTCTGGTCATCTATTAACACAAAGGAATGAAACCCAACAGTTATAAAGATTTGCAGAAATAAAAATGTCAATGTCAGACATATTCGAAAAATGCAAATAATCTAACTTGTGGAGTTTTTTGCTGTTTATTCCCCCAAACCTTTATTAATGACCACACTGAACTGATTTGCAATAGTACAGCCTTTTCAGCATTTCTTTTTTTAGCAAATTCATTAAGAAGGGGGGAATATCTACCAAGGAAACATTGTTCAGAACAATGCTAATAAATGGAATGTTGAATTACAATTTAAAAGGGGGGGGACAGCCTTCTTGCTCACTGCAGTGTTAATAACAACAAGAGACTTATTTCTACAGAAGATACAAAGCAAATTGCAAATATATTACAAAGTTAGGAGAAAAATAACAGTTCCTTAAACTCTATCAAATATATATGGGAGATGGTAAAAATACTTGACTCCCAGCTACTCTGTTCTGCACCTTCATAGGTCACAACTTTAAACACAGCTTAGAAAGAATCCTTTTGCTGGCTAAGTGTTTTCTTCTACAAGGACAAAACATGTAGTTAGGTAGGACAGGAGCTCTTCTGCAAGCTCCTCCCACAATGTTACTATAACAGGTAGAACAGCTTGTTTTCTTTCTTCTTCAGGTTACACCAAGGAAAGATTGGTCCACTCTTTGTCTGCAGCTGGTGTGCAACACAAATCCCATTAACTGTGCCACCAACAACCTAGTAGACAGATTCCCTGAAACGAAACTGCTCCTGATTGTAAATGGCTCTAACATTAGGGTCAATTAAAATCAGTTAGTCCTAATCTTGGACTCACCAAGAAAAAGGTCTAACTTCTGATTTTTCAATGCTGCACTGAACATAAAACAGGATGTTTGTTTTCCTGTGTTTTAAAACAGAAAAGTCTGAAAAAAAGAGTTTAAAAATATTTTAAATATGTAGGAAAAAGCTTTGCAACTTAAATACAAACATACTTACAAAATCTTACAGAGACTATTTACAACAATCTCAAAATCACATTTCCAACTTTCAGGGCAAATTTAATCCAGATGAAGACAAGGGGAATAGTATGTGCCTCTATCAGTGTTCTTAGGATCTGGGCTGGGTGAGAAAAATTTCTGACCCAGATGATTTCAGGGTGTGTACATTTCTCTCTATTCCTGCTCTTCCAACCTTTGATCAGGCTGCGGAGAAACAACAAAGTTGATGTGTGAACAACAAGCTGATGTTGAACTTCACACTGTAGTTTCTCCTTGTTTGCTGTTGGTAAGTCTGGTATAGAATTTCCTCCAGGAATTGAGTGTTTTTCCAGACCAGATCCAGAAGCCTGAAGTAATTCCCACAATTAGGGTCATGAGGTATTTGATCATGAAGACTGTGAAGTCTGGGTTCATTGGGGGGTGATGGTAGTTACTGGGGCAAGGAATGGCATAGCTCTTGCAGCTTTGAGCAAACCAACTCCTTTCCCACTGTTCCCTAAATGCTTGCTCATAAAAATAACAAGCAATCACTATGGTGGCCGGCACTGTATACAGAACACTAAAGATCCCAATCCTCACCATTAGCTTCTCCAGCTTTTCTGTTTTGGTGCCATCGTGCTTCATAATAGTTCTAATTCTGAAAAGAGACACAAATCCAGCCAGGAGAAAAGAAGTACCAATGAATAAGTACACAAACAAGGGTGCTAGCACAAAGCCACGCAAAGCATCTACATTGTTGATGCCTACAAAACAGACACCACTCAGCACATCACCATCAACCTGTCCCAAGGCCAGGATAGTGATGGTTTTGATGGCTGGCACAGCCCAAGCAGCCAAATGGAAATATTGTGAGTTAGCCTCAATGGCCTCGTGGCCCCACTTCATGCCTGCAGCCAAGAACCAGGTAAGAGACAGGATGACCCACCAGATGGAGCTGGCCATGCCAAAGAAATACAGCATCATAAACAGGATGGTGCATCCTTCTCGCTTGGTGCCTTGGGCTACAGTTCGGGAACCATCATCAGAAAAGCGCTCATTACAAACCACTTTCTCTTCCAGCAGAAACCCTGCAATGTAGGCCACTGCCACAGCAGTGTAGCACCCCGAGAGAAAGATGATGGGCCTCTCGGGGTAACTGAACCGCTTCATATCCACCAGGTAGGTGAGAACTGTGAAGAGGGTGGAGGCGCAGCACAGCACAGACCAGATACCAATCCAGGTCCGCGAGAAGCGCAGCTCCTCCTGCCCAAAATACATGAGCCCATGGGGGCGTCCAGGGTCACAGGGAGCTCCGCAATCTTTCTCACCCAGGAAGCGGTAATTCAGGTAAGAGGGTACCTTAAGCACCCGGGGGCAACTGAACCTGCCCGCCCGGTCCGCCAGGTGGCTCCCTCCGCCTCCGCCGCTGGGCCTGAGTTGAGGATTGCTGGTCCAAAACTCGGGTCCCAGAGAGGGAGTGGGCGTACCGCGGTCGGAAGTGTTCTGGCCCACGCAGAGCTCTCCGGCGCCGTGCACGGGGAATTTTTCGCAGCGCAGCGTGTCCGGCCACTGGAAGCCGAACTTGTTCATGAGCGCTTCGCAGCCCAGGCGCGCCCGCTCGCAAAGGGAGCGGCAGGGAGGCAACGCCTGTTCCAAAACGGTGCAGACGGGCGCGTACATAGAGCAGAGAAAGAACTTGAGCTCCGCCGAGCACTGCACTTTGACCAGCGGGTAGAACTGGTGCACCTCCAGACCCGCGTCCTCCTGGTTCGTGTGGCCCAGCAAGTTGGGCATGATGGTCTGGTTGTAGGCGATATCCGTGCACAGCGGGATGGTAATGGGCTGGCAATAGCCGTGGTCCGGCACGGAGATGCCGCGCTCGCCGTTGTACTGCGGCTGAGGTGGCGCCTGGCCCCGAGCGGAGAGCATCGGAGCCTCCGTCCACACCAGCAGCACCGCCAGCAGCAGGAGAAGCCAGGGAGAGCGCCCTAGGGCCTGGCTACCCCCTGCTGAAGACGAGGCTGCTTTGGCTCCGCTGCAAACTTGCCGACTCCACTTCTCGGCCATACTTCGCTGGCTCCTCTCTCGCCTTCGCTGCCTCGATCGACGACGTTTCCCGGGCTACTGCTGCCGCTGCTGCGCTTTAGATCTCCTGCCAGCGCAAACTTGAGACTCATGAAGGAAAGGCAGGAGGGAGCCAGCTCAGCAGCTGCTGCCGCCGCCGCGCACTCTTCAACTGCGCCACCAACCCTCTTTTCTCCGCCGGGCAGAGCGCACAGGATCCAGCTGCTCTTTGCTTCTTCCTCCTGCTGCTGCTGCTGCGGCCGCCGCCGCTTCTTCTGCCGCCACCGCTGCTGCCTGACCATTTGTGGCAATCCCTCAAGCCCTCTCTCCCTCGAACCGGTTTCCAGGCACCCCGCAGTCTGCTTTTCACCAAAAGGGAGGAGCCTTGAAACCGACGCCTAAGTTTGCCTGCGTTAGGCACCGTCGCCCAATATGTCTTCGCGCTTCCGAATGCAGTCGAAGTGGAGGTGACTCCAGAGAGTAATTTATTATTTTTTTTCTTCTTCACTTCCCTTCGTGATCCCGTCCAATTTCTGCGAGACACGAAAAGCAGGAACGGGCGGTTGTGAAAGGAGATCAGGGCTGTTGGAGTTTGCCTTAGAAGAAAACCTTGGAAAGTTAGCCCCATGTCTTGAAAGCAGCTAATAAATAGAAAGGGAGCGAGGAGCTGGCCGGAGAGGCAAACTTTTCTTTTTTGCCTGAAAAATTTGCACGAATATGTACATTTTAAAAGGAGGAGATAAGCTCCTCGCTCCCTTTCTATAGGTAACTGTTATGAGAAAAAGTTGAAGAGTTTGCAATCGGAAAAGTTTCTGGTCCTATTGTTTCTTTTTATTTTTCTTATAAAGTATCCATCTCATGTATTCAAAACTACGTTTATTCTTATACCTGTATCTTGTAAGTGACTGACAAATCAAATAAATAAATAAATACTGAATGAAATGAAACCCCTATGCTTTCATTTGAAGTGACTGAGGCCGCTTCCTGCTTGTCCTTCTTCAACGAATTAAAAAGGAAACAAATACCTTTTAAAAAAGCTAAGAAACTTTATGGCATGGCTTCTTCCAAGAAATTTAAATTTAAATGGCAAATTCTCCACCTGATTAGAAAATGTATCAGAAATTCCACTGATGAGAATTGAAAGATTCACTTGAGTAGGTAACTCAGAACTAAAGATCAAGCCCTCCCTAAAATACAGGAATAAATTTTAATATAAAATAGAATCCTATTGTGTATTGTATGATGTACAGAATCATGGACTAAGTCATGCAGAGTTTAATCAAGTGTCTTTAAAATCCAGCTTGCTTGCATAGTTTCCCATAAAAATCCAGGAACTTGCATTAAATGAGCCATTGTTAGTAAACAATATCTAAGCATTTACATAGAAACTCAGCTGTTGGGTCTGTCACTAGCATCAGATATATCTGAATGCTTTCAAATATAATAATTTATTAAATTGATATGTCACTGCACAATGAAGCAACTCTGGAATGTAGGAGCTAAGATAGCAAAATGCAACAATGAATAGATTTAGATTACCATTAAAACATATACCAAGTGTTTTAATCTTTGATTGAGTTCATATAATACACAAACTAGATTAGAGTTTTGAATTGTTAGCAAACCCATCCTCTATGATTAGTTCAATGTATCAGGTGATTTCAGATATTTCATTAACTAAGTAAATATGGGAAAATTAACCATAGGTAAAGAATTTATACAAATACAGCCTCTGTTTTAAGCATACCCATAACTTAGATATTGTATAATCAAGGCCAGATTTCTCCAACTTGGGAACCTCCAGGTCTATTGAGACTGTAGGCCAGCTAATCCATTCTTGCCAGTGTCAAAGGATGAATGAGTGATCAGGCCATCCCAATTCTGGGAGTTGGTCAAAACCCAGCACAATGCTAAAGATGCTTCATAAGAAGTGGTTATAATAGAATAATATTCTTTAGGAACTTCGGTGGCTCAGTGGTTAGAGTGTTACTTCTGCTGACTATTGGCTCTTTGCAATTTGGCAGATCAAATACCACCAGGCTTAAGGTTGACTCAGCCTTCTATCCTTCCGAGGTGGGTAAAATGAGAACCCAGATTATTGGGGGCAATATGCTGACTCTTTAAACTGCTTAGAATGGGCTGTAAAGCAGTATAAAGTGATATATAAGTCTAAGTGTTATTGCTATTGCAGAAGGTTCCTCAAACAGATGTTATGCAAGCAACTTCAAAAATGTCTTCCATTTCAAAGTATCATCATAAAATATAGTAGAAACAAACAGTGTTATTAAAATAGGTTTAATTTCAATATTATATTTTTTTTATAAAGGATTCTTGACAAATGATCATCTAGCCTCCAGTGAAGGGGATTTCCTTTTGTTTCTTTAAAAAAAGAAAGCTTTCATAGCTTCTATAAACAGAGATGGAGAGATGGTCCATTTGGTGTTCCATGGTTTGAAAACCCTGAATGCTGAGATAGACTATTGCAGAGAAAGATGATTGGTGTGTAGTCAGAAATGGCAGAAGTCATCGTGGGCCTTGATGCTAGAATGGGTGGGAATGATCAAAATTATCAGCCAGAGTCAGCTCCTGTTTTCAATCACTTTTGTTCATTGAACTGACATACAGAGAGAATTCAGTTCATTACGCAGAAGTCCCATCAGAGGGAAAATTTCAGGTGACATAAATTGGCTCAAATGTCTGTGGTGTGCTTCTCAGAGAAAACTGTTAGCAAATAACCAGGGCTTCTGCTTTTGCTTTATCTTTCTCCAAAGGCATTATTTTCTCCAAATCCCCACGTTCCCATTTGTGATATTTGGAAAAAAAACTGACAAGGGGCCGAGATAGAGCTTAGTAGGATCCCCCAAAACCCATCCACAGAGGTGGCAATAAAACAAGCCTGAAATTACATTGCTGTACACAGGAAGGCAAGAATTGGTTGAGATTCTGTTTTTCTTTGGGGGCAGTTGCCCACAATCCGATAAATTTCCCAGTCCTTTTTTTTTTTGCTTATCTAATTTTTATCACCTAATTTTCCCCAGCACTGCATTTTTCCAAGAGCACTACTTTTTCACAAACAACAATGATAAATTCTGAATAAGAGTGTGCATTTCAATAAAACATAGGACTGCATTAATTGTGTACAGCAATTGAGACTTTTCCATCTTACTTTGACCAAAGATTTGAGTCTTGTGCAACAAAACACATACATTCTCTGAAGTGTGGTCCAATTTGGTTCAAATAACTTTCTCCTCAGGTAAGCTGATTCTCACATGGAAATAATCTAAATGGTATACTATAAAATCTGTTAGCTTGATATATGCCTTACATTCTGTGTTTTTATTTTGAAAGAATCAGTAACTAGAACATTTTGCTTATGTTATTTAGAGATAAATAATATAAATATCGATTCCAGCAATGTTGCCCTACATTCAGAGAACATCTAGTTATATTTTAAAAAGGATAAAGAGTGCTTTGTCGCTGTTACATATCTGACTTTTTGTTTGTTTATTACAAAATTAAATGGGGTGACCTATAACCTGTTCAAAATGAACTATGTAACACATTCAATACTGAGAAAGTTATCTATGTTTATAGCTGATTTAGATCTAGTGAGAGTTTTACATTTAGGCAGGAAAAATTAAAGGTATAAGTACAGAATAGGCAAGATCTGGCTCAAAAACAGTAACTGTGAGACAGACCTTGGAGTCCTAGTGGATGATCTCTTGACCATGAGCCATCCGTGTGCAGCAGCAGCCAAAAAAGCTAATACAATCCTGGATTGTATAAACAGAGGCACAGAATCAAGATCACGTGAAGTATTACTACCGCTTTATAAAACCCTAGTCAGACCGCACCTGGAATACTGCAACCGATTTTTGTCATCATATACAGTTCAAAAAAGAGCAACTAAGATGATCAAAGGCCTGGAGGTTTACCACATGAAGAACTGCTGCAGGTTTTGAGTTTGCCTAGTATAAAGAAAAGAAGAATTAGGGGTGACGTGTTAGCAATATTCTAGTATTTGAGGGGCTGCCACAAAAAAAGCAGGTCAAATTAAGAAACAATGGTTGGAAACTAATCAAAGAGAGAAGCAATCTGGAATTAAGCAATTAAGTAATCTGGAATTAAGGAGTAATTTCCTAGCAGAGAGGACAATTAACCAATAGAACAGCTTGCCTTCAGAAATCGTGGGCACTCCATCACAGTTATTTCCTAGACAGTCACTTATCTGAAATTGGGTAGGTGCTCCTGTTTGAGCAGGGGGGCTGGACTAGAAGATCTCCAAGGTCCCTTCCAGCTCTATTCTATTTTACTGAAATGGGAGACTTCCAGATACTACCCTGGCAATTTGAAAATTACAATAAAGTGGTAGCAAGCCATTCCATTTTGCTGCCAAGGAAACTATATGGACATGCCCTTATGGTGATGAAGATTTTATTTCTATTGTAGGTGTATAGATGTGTATCTTTAACAAAGTTTGCATAAGTATGTCATTGCTGGATTCCTTTCTTCTTTCAAAATTATCACATGCATAAAAATATTGATGCAGTTCTTTTTCTTTTCACCTTTTTGTATGTATTATGTATTGTAATCATACATGTTTCCTTAGAAAAGTTTTTTTAGTTTTTCATGCTTAATGGAGCTTACTTCCCTGTAAATGCTACAGTGTTAGGCTCAATCCCATACAGAACACTTTATGGTAGACCTGGTATTACCTTCCTTTTTTTGTTTTTACATTGGTACTTTATTTGGACTGTACACAGAGGTGCACAGGGTTTCTTAAGCACTTTTTCTCAGCTGTCTCTGCCATCCCCACAGAAGAATGATTACTTTTTTTGCAGCAGTGGCACACTATTTCTCCATAGTGTGAGTTTCAACTCAGACTTTATTAGCTAGGATGACTTTCTGGAGGGACTTCAGATAGGAGAAGCCTACACAAGGATCTTCCTTGGATCAGTGTATAACTTTGTAAATGAATGAGGGAAGATATTGCTGCATGCAGTAAAAGTCATCCCTTTTTTGTATATTTGTACATTTTTTGTATATTTTGTACAGAGAGTGTGGGACTCCAGGAAACTACAGATTGGTGTTTCTAATTATCTCTTTTTTAATTCAGCATGTTGTTTTCAAATAAGTTCACAAAAAGAACTGGCTTCTCAAATTAACTGCTTGATAACAAGCTCTGTATTGTGCTCCATAAGCAAGTGTCATGTTCATGATGTCAAAGCCTGTCATTTATAGACCTGCTGGTAATTCAAAACTCTCTTATGATTAATTACAAAGCTACACTGGAGTGATCTGGACCACACAGGATAGCTTATGGCTCAAAGTT